CGCCCACCTCCCCCTCCCCGGAGCCAGGCCCCCTCTGACACCCCTGAACCGTTTCCCCTTCTCTTCCTTTGAAGAGCGATGCAGGTGCAAAAAGACAAAGCCTACGCTGTCGACCTACCTGGCCAAGAACTACAGCTACAGTAAGTGCATTGGGGAAAATGCTTCACTTTGCCCGTCCCACCCCTCTCTGTGCCCCCTGCGAGTTAGGCAGCTCCGTGTGGGTGCTGCACCCACACCAGGCCTCATCCAGCAAGTGCAGCGCGAGGACACCGCTCCACCGCAGCCTTTCCAAGTGGGTTTTTGCCTGAGGACACCTAGCCGTCCTCCTCCAAAACCCAGCACTCGAGCACACCTCGTGCAGGCAGTAGTAGTCATTGCACAGATGATGGTGTGCTTCTGATAAAAGCAGTGAAATGTCAGTAATGTGCACTGGTATCAACAGGTCGCTCTGCAGAAGGGGTGCTTGCTACTGTAAAGGTCACTCTAGTAAGTGCAATTACGTCTAATGTGAGCATGACCACGTGCTGCTCGGCCAGCCCATTTTCATCCAGCAGGTGGAATAAACAGAGGTGTATCACCTAAATAAAACTTGTAAATGTAAATGAAGCTGAAGCAGGGTAAAAAGTTATTGCTTAGAAATTCATACTTTCTTTTACTTATTAGCCAGAGTTCCATCTGGTGCGGAATTGTCAGAGATTAATTGAATTCAGTGATAATTTGCACCATCTAGCCGAGGAGTTGGCCGATAGTTTTATCCTATGTTGCATGACATACTGGCAATATAAGTAAGTATTCACCCCCCTTCCCCTGTGGCTCCCCGCCCTGTTTTTCTGATGCTGGAAGTGAGGAAGAACTCTAATTAAGATTAGATAAATACCAGATTAGGCGTCTGTAATATCAGTAGAAAACCCCTATTAACCATGAATTTAACATACAGTATCATGGTCTTTTGCACTTTATGGGCTTTTTCTCAGATGGCAGTTGTTTCTTCCAGGGATTTATTCAGTTCTTATGCAATGGGGTTAGTATATCCATTCAATTTCTATTTGTCTGATATCAAATGAAAGTACGTTTGTAGTTATTTGCTTCTTTGTTAGTATAGGGAAAAAAAAATCCAAACCCCAGTTTGGTGGGAATAATCAAGCCGAACATGTAACTTAGGTAATTGTACACTTTTTTGTTATGGCATTTTGGTGCATTTATATCATATATTCTTTTTATATAATTCCTTAATCTATCTCAGTACCACATAGTGATATGTTCAGGTGGGACAATGAACTTCCAGACTTGTCTGAAATATATGAAAAAGCAGTGATATAAAAATGACTATTCTGAAATGAAATACAGGTGTTAGTCATATAAATTCTGACTCCAGTGACTTCAGTGGGAGTGTTGCTTGAATAAAACCTGTAGGTTGGGGTCCAAAATTTAATTCCATTGAATTTGTAGAATCAAGATTTTGTTTTTGAGAGGTAGATTTTTATTCAGCCTCCTCTGAAATAAATAGACATGCTCATATGGAAAATGAATTGAGAGACAAGACAAAGCAGAACAAGTTGCAAATAAAATCCATTTTTTTCTGAAATCCTTTAAAATAATATATACAGCCAAATTGTATTTCTAGCTGGTCAGAACTTGGTTTCAATCAGACTTGAAAATGGATTGTGAGTCTCCAAAACTGGAGTCCCTCTTGTGTTTTGTGGCTGTTACACATGTCCTGATAAAGTTAGCACATAGCACCCAGACTGCATTAAAATTGCTGGTCTCCTGTTTTCTACATGTGAAGCTTATTCCAAACATTAGGAGGTCCATTTGAAGGCTTTTGACCTGGTGGCTGCCAGGGGCAGCGTCGATGCAGGCTGATCAGTGGTACCTACACTTCTCATGCTTCCTTCACTGAAGAATTTCGCGACAATAGGGCCCTTCCTATTTTGACATTTCCGAGGGACAAAGTCCTTTGCGCAAAAATCGTGCTTCATTTCTCTGATTTGATACTTCTCACAAAGTGGTAGGTACTGCCAGGGTTCGCAGGTACAAAGTTAGCCAGGGAGCATCCTCAGAGCAATCTACACAGTTTCACCTTCTTGCATCCATGCAGACATGCAGTTTTCCTCAATAAAAGGTACAAATATGAATGGTTGTGTATTCAGAGTCAGAAGAACCCATTTCAGAGTCTGTTTTAGGTGAGGATCTTACTATTGATGGATAATCCGAAGGCAAAAGATGAAAAAAATTATAGACCGAGTAAATCACGACAATCCTAAGCCTCTCAGGTTTTGACTGCTTGTTTCAAACCTTCCCTTCTTTCTTATGTTTAAGAAAATGCTTTAATTCCTGGATGCAACCTACAGGGTAACGATTTTATTATTGAAAAGACTGAATTCACGCTAACTCTCTGTGAGGTAAATTATTCATTACTTAATTGGAAATAGCCAGATGTGGCTATAGAACGGGTCTGATTTATGCGAGGGTTGTTCAAGTCTGAGTCAAAGGAGCTGTTTGTGTGTGTGATTCCAGGCGAGATCGCTTGGCCTGATCTGGCAAAGATTTAAGCACACGTTTAATTTCACAGTTGTCAACAGTCCTACTGAAAACCAAATTGGGATCAGGCCTCTGTTATTCTAAGCCACTGTACGTGCCCACACATGAAAAAGTAGTTCTAGTTTCACAGCCGAAACAACAGCTTTCAATTTAATATGTCTTATTTAATTTTGAGATGTGTTTACATTTCTAAGACCATTTGTTGTTCTCATGCCTCTATTTTTCTAATTGCAGTCATTCACGCTAAAGTAAAAAGTGTAGAAAGAGGGAACTGCAACGAGATAACGACTGTAGTTGAAGTCAAAGACATACTCAAGTCTTCGACGCCAATTCCTCTGTCTCAAGTGCCTCTTCTTACAAACTCCTCCTGCCAGTGTCCACCTCTTCAACCGAAGCAGGATGTTCTCATCATGTGCTATGAATGGCGCTCAAGGTGAGCACTGGCGATGTGGTGGAGAAAAGTGTTATAGCTAGCTGTGACAGACGGGAAGGAGGACCAGCAAAGCTCCCTTCCTCATCGTGAGCATGTTTTGCTGATAGTTTTTCTTAGGGATAACTCACACATACATCTACACGTTTCAGTTACCTTTGCAATTAACTTTTTCCACTTAATCAGCCTCAGCTCTGAGCCACAACGCGGTGTTCACAAAACCTGACTCACACATGGAGCGTAAACCCTGGTGGCATTAGGTGCTGACAGCATATTGCTTAATGCATCGTGCAGCAGTTCAGGCATCTCCAGCTGTTCGGGAGTGTTTTTCCAGGACTGCTTTCCATAGGCATGAGCTGCTTCATATGCTACAAGCCTGATGGTGGCTGTAGATGATGGTCCACGTCGGCAGGACCATGAGGAAGGCATAGTTCTGCCTCACCAACCCCAGGGGAGGGGACAGGAGATGATGCACATCTCCTGTCTGCAGAGTTGCTGGAGACAGAGCCAAGCCCTCTCCGCTGGCCTATCCATACTTCGGCACGGTGCCATCAGCGAGATGTTTCTGATCCCACAGCTGTACCGGGACCAGCCAAAGCTGCAGCCATTGGAGCTCCGGCTCCCGGATGGCAGATGAAAAGCAAATACTCTCAGAGCAGCTTGCCAGTCCTTCTGTATGATTAAAAGACAAAACAAAACTAACTTTGCCAGACCTTTCATCTGGCAGTCAGCCTAGCCCCAGGCACGGAAGGAAATCCAGCACGCTGGTCTGGAGGGGAGGGAGTGATGAATCACAGCTCCCTTTTCTCTCTGGGTTCTTGAGGCAGAAGGGGACATCCCATCCCCATTAGCATCCCACGTGTACCAGTAGCAACAGACGCCAACAGGACAGGTTGTGGCGTGGTAGGTATGTGTGGCTCTGTGTTGTGGGTCAGAGGTAAGGCTGCTCGTAAAATGCGCAGGCTGGTTTTGCATACAGTGATATGATTGTTAATTGAACATGTGCACTTGTAAAGGCCATAGAACATCTATGTGCAGAACTTGATGGGCCATATCCATATTTTCAATGAGTTTTATGTTGATATTTTAAAAGCATTTTATAGGTGTTTCTAAAGGTTGCCATCTGATACCTTATTACCTTAACTTTTTTTTGTGAGCTAACAGGCACAGTATTTTATTATTACACAGCACCTCGCTCCTCCAGGTCTGGAAGTATTTCACAAAGATTAATTTAGAGTCCTCTACTTGTGTTAGCCATTTTAGGGATACATGCTCTGAGTCACGCAGAAGGACCACGACCAAGGTGGCTATTGAGCAGCTCTGAGCTGCAGAGCTTTGTTGGAGAGGACCCTCAGGAGGCTGTCAGGGAGGGGAGATTTCAAAAGTGAAAGACCATAATCTGCTTCTCCATTACTATGGAAAAACACACCATTCACTAAATATTTTGTGATGGTTTTTAAAGGTCACTGAGGTTTTTAATTTCATATAGTGTACTAAAATCGATTTGAAAAAGAAATATAAACTATTATATGTGTTTCCTGTTGAACTCAGTGGCATGCAAACAGAAGGTTTTGAGTTACAGCAGCTTTTTAAAATGCCAGAAGCAAAATGGGTGGAACCTGTATCTCCACTGAAGTCAATGGCAACCTGTTGCCCATCAATAGGGTTAGGGTCCCACTCAATAATTTGACCTGAACAGAAGCTGCATCAGATTCACACCGTGTTGTGGTTTCATTCATCACAATGTGGCCTTAGCTTCAATCCTATATGTTAATTCTCTAATCTCTCTTTGGAAAGAAAGATACATACTCCTGATGTGTATCATGTTGATCTTGGTTCTCCAGGGCTTGCATTCACTGTAGTCCTTTTTTGTTTGGGCAAAGTGGATGCACAGTGGCTAATGGCTACGAGTGGCAGCACTTTATACTCTTTTTGAACTGGTATGAGCAGCAACGCTGTTCATGGAAACTGGAGGTCAGGCCCTGCTATGTTGTGTAAACCTCACCCTCCAGCAAAGTGCTGTATGAAATTGTGTGCATTTGTAATGATGTTTTGATGTCTCCAGCCAACACTGATGTCTAAATAGAACCTTCCAGAATTAGGGAAATGATATTAGGTTAAGGCCCAGTATCTCAAAAAAAAAAAAGGGATTAAAAGAAAAGAAGAAAAAAAAAGTTTAAATACTTAGCCGTAGGGGAGATTCCAGCATCCCTGTGCTATAAAATAGTTGTTTCTAGGTTGGGACTTAGAAGGTGTGACATCAGACTGCTTTAGCATAAACTATTTTAGAAGCTGTTTAGGGCATACATATTTAATAGTTACATTTTTGTTTTGTTCATTTTGTAACACGTAGACTCAGTATTTTCATACAGGAGCTAGCCAGATTTCGTTGGTAGGCAAGTATGACTGTCCATATATCTTCCAAATTCACTTTAAAGCACTCACTAAGTAGCTACATGTAGGAAATACATAATACCATCCTCATGTATTTATAGGTGGAAATGGAGACAATTGTAAGTGATCAGATAATGTGTTACTATTCGTCAGGTGAGCTGTATTAACTGGTGCGTGTGAAACAGCTTTTTTTTCAATTCAGAAGTAAAATACATTAGTTTAAACTACTCTTCTGCACACAAACACACACACAAACATATAGTGGATGTAAGTAAAAATATATGTACATATACATTTAAACAGTTTCATGGGGTGTTACTCAACCCGTCACTTCTTGTTAACAGTGATCAAGACAGGACAATTTTCCCCTGCAGAATAGCTGCAGGTGAGGACAAACGGCTCTAAATGTTTTCTCAATACTGGCCATGCACTGCAGTTTTGGCTGTAAAATCTGATTCCTTTTGAAAACTATTTTCTGTTTTTACAGAGTTTAGAGTGGAATTTCAGAAGGATCCGTACAAGCATTTAGAAATCCATTAGAAAGCATTTAGGGATGGAGAAAAATATTTTTCTGCCTATCGTCCCATACACAGAAACTGTCAGTACCAGTACCTGCTGGTTCATTTCAGCCTCAGTCTGTATTAAATCATCTGGAATGACATCTCAGGAATCAAGATCAGAAATATCTATAACTTGTATTTATTGCTTAATTTTCAGGTTGATGCTTCTTGATGGATGTCTAGTTGAAAAATGGAAGGATCAACTAAACAAAAGATTTAAGGTAAATACCACCAAAGAAAAGAATGCTGATGTTCTTGGTAAAAAGTAGTTCTACTACTTCTTTGTTCTACTTCAGCATTCAATAACTTGCTTGACTTTCAGATATCCATAACACCTCTGGATATTATTATTTTCACTTCAGCATTTTCATACCTCATAATTACATACAAGTGGAAGTGAAAATTTGAAAATTTTAGTCTTGCATTTTAGAGTCTCTAAAATTTTATTTCTGTTTTATCTGCAAACTGTCCCTAAATAGGATGGTTGGATGATCTTTGTGTGAACACTGGCTTATTATAACAATGACTCTAGGAATTTCTTTCATATCACTGCTAAGGCAAGTAACTGTCAGACAGGTGATACGCAGATGAGTATATAGTCCACATTAGGTAAGAAAGGAAGTTAAAATCCACCGCGCTGGATAAACGGGCTTTGCTGCATTAAAGATTGCAGGCTGGAGACACAGACTTTCTCAACAGTTACTTCCCACTAAAGACCCACTGAAAGTATTGGGCATCCCCTCGCTGGTTTCAGGGAACACTAGAAGGAGAAGTCTATAGTATAGAGACCTGGGAGGCAGGAGCAGCAGATGCCCCTGCTTTCTGGGGCTTCAGGATAGCACTTGCTATCACTCCCTGCTTGTAAACTCCTCTTTATAATGGAAAGAAAGGGTGGATCAAGACAATGTCTGACTCTTCCTCACACTTTTAGAGATGGAAGAAAGTTATTTCTGGAATTCAGAAAAGGTTTCAGAGCATTAAGGGCATACATGTCTATTTATTTTAATTATGAGCTGATTGGCAATTGATAGAGAGGAGGAAAAAAGATGCATGTATCCATCAGTAGAAGCTTTTAGGTTACAGACAACCTTCTTGCAGCAAATTGTATTTGATGCTTTTATCATTCCCTTTTCTCCTCACTTTCTCATATAAAACCTATGTGTGAAAAAGAAAACATGCTTTAAATCTTTAAAAAATAAATACATTGCAATTGCAGATGATACCATGTGGGATTTAGGAGAATACTGACATATGACTCGGACTCTTAAAATCCCTTAGCTGTCAACTTAATGGCCTGTTACTGGTACACAGTGTGTTTTAGTGGCCTCCTCACACTGTTTTGTCATTTCTAATTGTGTCTTGAAACCTGTTTGGACATTCATTTCCAGACTGTCAAATAGATGCATGACTGCCAAACGAAGTAATTCTCAAAGCATGTCTCATTCCTTCTGATATTAATAGTTTCATAAAGTAAATGCTTATTTAAACATGTTTGAGTGGGACATACCTAATGCCTGCTGATAGTTTTTGTTTTATAAAGATGCATATAATGACCCTGACTACACAAAGATAGCCAGTATGGAGCTAGGTATCACAGTGGCTTCATCTTAATGCCCATCATTCATCTCTGAAGACTTGCATCCAACTTTTATCTTGAGTTACCACTTTAAATGAATGTTTTGAGCTGTCTGTGGACCACAGAAGACAGCTGTTAACATAACCACAACATGGCTGATCTCTTCTCTAGCCAGGACAAGAGTCTGGGTTGCATCAGGGTCAGTGCAGGGATACTAAATAGGAAAGCTGGAGAGCACTTCTCTTGCTCTGATCACTGGGCAAAGCCTCTGCCTTTGGGAGTTTCAGAACAGAAAGTTCATTAATAGAGGGGAGATGTGAGACCCTTTCCAGGTTCTACTATCTACCCTGCTTTTCTTAAAATAAGTATTTCTGTTCCTAGAGGTGAAAGACTGCAGTCTGTTGCAGTGTTGTGGATCTCTTCATATTTTGGACCACCTAACCACTTAACCTCACTGTAAAAACCTGTTTTCTGGCCACTGCACTTTTGGTTTGGAAATCTGACAGCTATTCTCTTTGGTGGGCTCTTTGATCTAACTGCTTTTCAAAATTTCTCAGGGATGCTGTTGAATAAAGCTGCAGGTGCATTATTCGAAACCATCCCATTGCAACTCTGAACACTGTGATTTCAGTGGTCATCTCTGTTGTCTGTCCGCAACATAAGCTCTTTCATGCCCGGTCCTCTCCACCCCAGGGGAAAGCAGAACCAGAAAGTAAATACCACCTTCCCTTGTAGCTCTGTGTGTGTGTGTATATATATATATATATATAGTGAAAGGATAGTCTGCTTTCTGCAGACTTTTCTGAGGAAAAGTCAAAGTAGCACGTTTAGTAATACAGCAAAGAAGGGGTTTGCAAAGGAGTCCTAGTGTGCTGATCCTGTCTTTCTGATGGCATGGTGCCAGCCCCCCTGGATTTCTGGAAAGGCATGAGATGTGCACTCACGTGCAGCATGCACACAAGATGTGCAGTTGTCATTTTCATCAACTGGTATCGTGCAAATTCCCCCACCCAAGAACACGTGGCAGGTTCCCCCTGCAGACAGCTGTAACATACTGATATCAATGGCTCTGCGGGACAGAGCACAAAACTGTTAAAAGCAGCGCTAGTATCAGTGGTTCAGGATAGCTTTGATTAAGACATAATTATTTGTGATTATGTCCTTCTCTAACTCAGCCTCTTTGTCTTCTGCATTTCCACAGAGGTGGGAACAGAGACTGCAAGAACAAAAGCTGCGAACGGCCCGCAGTAAGAACCAGAATGCAGGACGCAGTGGTCGGAGTGGAGCCCCAAAACCATCAACCAAGAACACCAACCCGCTGGTCAGTGGCCCCAAAAAGGCCATTAAAATAAGAAATGGCCAGAAAGAAATCAACCCTAAAAAAGTATGAGCGTGAAATTTGCAAAAGGAAAGACTTTTCCTGCACGATGAAGGTCACAATCTGGCTTGGTCGGCATGTTCTATTAATCCAGAACTCACTGACTTAAAAAGTCATGGCAGTTTCTACATAGACATTTTTGCTGCACTTTACTTTTAAAAGGTTTGCTTTTCCTTTCAAGCCACTGCAAGCCATAGAGCCTAGGTTTGCACTAATATCTGGTAGGCATATTCAAGCTGACTGAACTTTATTTTAGGGCTCTGATTTGCAATTCTAGATAGATCTAGCCTTGGCTGCTAGAGGTTTTAACTCCTTATGCCAGTTGCCTGCCCTGCTTCCCTGCCAGAGGTTGGAGAGATGCGTGGGGCATGTCTTCTCTCCTCAGAAAGTGCACCAGTTTAGTAGTTGACAAGTTAGTCTGTGAGTTGGTCTGTGAGTTAGTCTGGTGAGCTGAGAACCATGGCAGCTGAGGAGCAGCAGAGGGACAGTAACCTCTGGTGGACATCTGGGGCAGCAACCACTGCAGCTGCTGGAGCTGAATCTATCTGCTATTTGGAATCACAGCCCTTGTTCAGAGCATGCAGAAGCATAGTTTACCAATAAGCATCTGGGTATGCATTATGTGATTATTTTTATGTGTGTGCCAGAAATATGCTTACAGTGTTAGCATTTGATCTTGTGGGTTTGTGTAGCAAAAATGCATTGAAAGCAGACATGTAATTTTTTTATTGTACTTCAGGCTGGCTTCTGTTGTTATAATTTCAAATATATTTAAGCATCTAATTGAAAAATCAGTATTTTTTAAAAGGACAGATCTGTAGAATTCTTGAAAGTAACACTTATGTTTGCTGTAACATAGCTTTGTTATGAAAACTGGAATAGAAGCATTATTCAAACATAACTGACAACTACTGTACAGTATTAAAGAGAAGATAGGGCTTCATGTGGCTCAGTGTTCATTTGGATAATTTTTTATCATTTGACACCATATTTCTAAATCTTTCTCTGATACCGAATAAATAAATAAATAAATAAATAAATAAATAAATAAATAAATAAATGTGGCTTGTCCCTGTTCCTGAACTTCTCAAAACAACTGGCTATCTGCAGTTTTGCTGATCAGAAGGTAACATTTACTCTGCAGAGGGTCACAGGCAAAGCAGATGCTTTTATTTAGGTACTAACTTTTACTGACAACATTTGCCGTGTGAGGTATTAAAATAGCGAAGGTGAAATAAATCTAATTGGCATAACTCCAAGATGGCATTTATGCTATTCCTGCCCAAGCTTTACCTGGATAAGGCAGTATGGCTAGCACAGCCTGATTTCTGTTAACACATAAGAAAATCACCTGCATTAACATTGTAAGAGCCCATGACATGTCTTAAAGACCTTCAAGAATTCCTGCAGCAGAACTAATGACTAGAGTTGGTAATTCTGGTATCTATAAAATAAAATGATCATTTATAAAATAGAGAGTCTACATCAGAAAAAAAAAAAGAGTTTTGTGTAGATTAACGTAAAGAGTTACAACTGGTCATATCAGTATATTGATCTATGTTATGAGAAGAATTCCAATGAAATTTGCAGGCATGAAATTTAAGGCAGAATATGCTCGAGTGATTTTGGTAGCAGCAGTAATATACTTGGTAATATGCTAACACAAGCTGAAGACATGGATGCCAAGTTAGAATGCTTAAAACAAAGGGACAGTGGTGTTACAGAAAAATTGAATAATAGCATATAGGGTAGTTCAGGGGGGAAAAAAAACAACCCTACATGATCACTGGTTGAGTTTTGAGCAGTTGGTTAAAATATGCAAAGGTCAGCATCTGAATGTGGCCCTTCCTGTTAATTCTAGGCAGATGCAGAACTTTATCTCCATGGAACATCTGCGGAATTAGGTCCAAAATTCAATCCAGGTGCCAGGAATGCTGAGCATATATTGCATCTGTTGACTTTAGTGGGAATTATGTGTGTTTGACATGTCTGAAAAAACAGATCACAAACTTAGGTGCCTAAATACAGACCATAGGTGAAATCTTAATCCTGTACAATGAAATGGAAAAACTGAAATCGAAATCAAAGGAGACAGAATTTCACTGCAGGTGACTAAAGTAGGTGACTTTGAAAGTGCTGGCTTAAGTAAGCATGACCTAAAAGATCGGTATGATTGGAAAGCTTCTAAAATAGTTTTATCTAGTGTGTAGTAGCTTTGAATACCTATTGATCCCAATTTAAAGTACCCCAACAAATATGTATAAGGTTAGCTATTAAAAATGAACGACAGTCCTATCAATGTGATGTTGAAATAACAAATACCAAAGTTGTGATATTTCACTTTAACAAGTTTTATTGTGAACATCGTCAAGTGTGGTGTTTGTTGAATGAAACCTTTGGAACAGCTAGGTAGACTTCATAGTAAGATTACATATTATTTTACAACTGTTTAAATCAAACTTTTCTCATTTTTTGATATCGCAGAAAAAAGTGTAAAAACTGTTTTCTACAGAGAATTGTCACCATTCCTTCTGTAAGTTACTGTTGTTGGACTGAGGATTGCAGTATGTTGGAATGAACTTTGATGCACCAAGCCCGGTGTTTCCAAACTCCTTGACATTTTTATGTATGCTTTATGCTGGCTAACTTTCATTCTGATACAGTAAAAATACGGAAGAAGGAAAGGCAATACAACAAAAAGCAGGGGATATCATAATACAAAGAACAGATGTGCAGACAAGGGGAATGAACGAGTAAGGTTTCCCTTACTGTTCCCTTTTGTTTTCCCAAATCCATTTTTTTCCACTTTTTAAACAGCCATGGGTCAACTCAATTCAACACCAGTATAATTCACTCCATTTTGAAAATCCCTTACAATTATTAACTCCCTGCGACATCAAATGCCGGCTGAATGCAGACCCAGAACATCCCCGGCCTCCAGCCCACTGCCCTTCCCTTGCGAAGGCGCGAAACAGACGTTGGAGCAGCGAGGGCTGTTTGAGCAGGCAAATCTACCCTCCTGCGTCCCCACGTGGCCCACTCACCACTTCTGCTCCCCGGCACGTGGCAAAAAGTCAGACTCACCTCCCCTCGTGCACATCCAGGTGCAGTCATTGCCATGCTAGTGCACCCCAGCACCGGGGTCATGAAACCTCGGTTTCGCAGAGTGGGCAAATAGTCCGCTGATGGACGAAAGTAATTACTGTACCTATTTACAGCTGAAAAAATTAACAGACCAAAACTTGAAGTGTCAAATGTTTTTTCTCAGTGTTACAGCTGAGGGGCTTGGCATTTTTTTAATATAAAATAAAAATTGCCTGGAACACCAAACAGATGTTTCTGGTGCGTTTCTTACTACCTCCCACACAGATGTACCCGGTTTAGTAAGAATATTTTCACTGAATGTTCTAACCTCAATTCCAAAAGAATGAAACCTGAAAAAATATTTACTCTAATTGTGAATAATTGGAACCGTTTTAGAAGCTCACTGTAAATGCAAATCAGAACTCTTTTATGAACCACATTTTAAAAAATGTCATAAACCCCCTCCAACAGGACCTGAATGACCCGGTCACTTCAATTCAATTCGGCATTGCAGCTTTGTTACTTTTGTCCAGTCATTGCATATAACTGAGAAATACTTCCTGTACAAATAAAAAGAAGATTTTCCAGTCCAAAATACTCAAACAGCTCTTAAATTATTTTATCCAGCATTGTAACCTAGATTCCAAATGAATGAAACCTGAAAAAATATTTACTCCAATTATGCACAACCGACACACACTTTTTGGTTGCGCTTAGTGGTTGAACGTAAATGCACATCTGAAAACGTTTCCTCAACCAGATTTTTCTGGTAAACCACATCAGCTCAAATTAATTTTTGTAAATAAATATAAATCCATCAATATGGGTCAACAAAGATTCAAAATTATGTTTCCACTTATGGTAAAAAACAATAACTTGCAAGGACCTACAAATAAGTATTTAATTTCTATAGAGGTACATTACTTCTAATTAGACCTAGTCAAGGCTCTACATTTAATTTCAACTGCTGACACTATATTTCTTGTAACATCTCCGAAACTGAACACCAGCCTTATTGGAAGGTGAAACAGGATTTCAAACTTGCTTCTTAGAGATGCAGTAAATTCAGGGGGTTCCAGGTAATCTGTTCATATCAGACTGGCTCCTGTTGTTGCTGCCAAAAGGCTTGTGGATAAACCAGCATGGCAATAAGCATAAAGGAAAGCATCTGGAAGGGAGGACACACTCCTTTTCTCTAGATAAGAATACTAAGATCAAAACCGAAAAGTACCTTAAATATATCAGATGATCTATGCTGCAGATAGAAGATTAATGGATGCATCAGAGTGATCAAGAGATGCCCGAAACAGACTGACACCCTAAGTATTTTGCTTCCTTCTGGTTACAGTATGATGAAAACTTTAGTTTGTAGATACTCAGAGCACATCAGCATTTCTCCTCGGAACAAGGTAATCAGAAAGCTAATCATTTGCTCACAAAGAACTGTGGATAAAGTGAATAGATACTTGCAAGGTCTGACTTGCCAGTGTAGCTCATTCAGCAGTCAGAGCAAAGGAAAAGCAGTGCAGCAGTACACAACCACAAGCTGACTGACTCCATCCTCTTGGTGGGGAAAAAAGCTTTTTCCCCATTTCTCTTATTTTATTATGCAGTAATTCAGTACAAATACTCACTACAATCAGGCATACCAATTCTTCTTAAACAGCATTTTGAGATTTAGAACCAGCTTGTTTATCACTCTAAACTGAAACAGATCTTTAATATAGTCTTAGTGTCAGATTATGATTTCATCAAAGTTCCTAAACAAGGAAATATGTGGTCTGTTGTACAAATAAATATGACCTGTGGTTCCATTTCTCTCCTGCTGGGACAAAAATCAGAAGAATAATTGTGTTATCTTTTGTTAGTGTTGGAAGAATTTTCATCACATCTCTGCACCACCTAATTCTATGCTGAACCACGAGATATTTTCTGAATAAACGGTCGTGAAGGTCACATTCTTTTTTGATCTGGCATTTAGATATGAGATAAAAGGACAGAGTCAGACTTCCTGTAAGATTTGTAGGCAGAGGAGTTGTGTAAATGCAATTGCAAGAAGATTTTCATCTGTGAGACTCAATGGAGTTTATGTTGGAACACATTCCTCCTGACTCTATAAATGCAAATGCTTGCCGATCCCATCACAAATGCTCAAACTCTTAAAAATTGCATCCATGTCTATGTCACAGTAGTATAAAATTCAAAGAAGAGAGGATGGCAGTCTAAATTATGTGTACAATACTTAAGTGTTGGGTTAAACTTTTAAAGAGACAAAGTAATCTCTTAAAATATTGACAGTATTTCCATTACCATGCTTTTGAATGCATATTTTGATAATTATACAAAAGTTTGTATCTCAAAGATATAAAACCTTTGTGAATCTGAATCTCTTAATCCAGTGACTGAAACAGTTTTGTTTTGTTTTGTTTTTAATGTATCTCTTAAATTCCTCCTTTCCAAAGCTGCTAAAAGACATGAAGATCAAGAACATATTTAGGAGAAGAAAATAAGCATTAATAAACTAAATGTTCCCACATTTAATTTGGGTTTGGATCTTTATGCAATGTGAAGAAAAACTGTCATAGATCTATGCATAATATTTCAATGTAATCTACTGGATCATTTTAACCAAGTACAAAACAGGGATCATAATTGACACACATGAATATATGAACCCAAATAAATGGAATCCTTCAACATCTAATAGTTAAACCAAACTGAAAAAAATGCTATATTGATCAAGAGTGATGTAGTGGAGGATGAAGAATGATGGTTAAACAAGCAATAACTCAGTATATAAAATTATGTCACACTTAAACAGGCAGAGCTACTGTACCCCTACAGCTAGCTGAAATTTCTAAGACCAGTGCAAAAATTATCCACAGTATTCAAAACCTGTGCATGATATCTATCAAGCTATTTGATTGTGAA